AGAAGTCGGCGTCAGCACAAACCCGTGCCCGGAGGGAACGTGATCCGCTTCTCGTCGTAGTTGTAGGCGATGAACCGCTTCTCGCGGCTGTGTGACTCATTTTCTGAAAGATCGATGTCAAAATGTGTCAGACAAAGCAGCGCTGATACCTACTTAAATGAAGATTCAAACGTGTAGTCGGCGGTGATCATTTTTTTTTTCTAAGATAGTCCGTTACCCATGATCAGGTAACCAGGAGTGCCCCCTCCCACAGTCCCGGCGACGCACAGAGACCTTACTTTAACACCAGGTAACATAATAAATTGATCAAGTCGCGGCACTCCCTGCTAAGAAGTGGAAAATATAAATAAATATAACGCATGCAATACTACTAAAAAATGTTAGTAAGTACGCCAAAAAGGAGGAAAGTAGTCATTGCCAAGTGAAGCAAAATGACTGCCCACTATACCACACAAGCAACTATCATTTATACCAGTGTTAGTAATTAACGCAATACGCATTCATACTCAAGGTGGGGAAAAGCATGCCTGGTCAAGTTCTTGCAAGGTTATTTTTATTGCCGAAACCCTTGGCTCCGTCCGGCTAAGCTAGGCTTGTTGCCAGACAGAACCTCAGGAAACAGCACGGACTAGAGTATTTTAAGAATTAGTACAATAAGTTTTATAGATGTCAATGTAGGTAATGCATGTAACCTACATTCAATTTGCATATTTACCACAAGGTAAATATGCAAATTGAAATAGACAATGATTGAGAAGGGTGGCACACAAGGATTTATTGTAATTGGTATTTAAAATAGGTATATACGAATCGTTAAGTTGTGTACATGCATGACATGCACATACGTACATACATGCATATGCATATGTATCATGTACGCGAAACATACACACATACATACACACACGACACACATACATACACACGGTATCATGAGTACCTACCTAGTAAGTTAATCATCCCAGCCTAATATTTGAGAAAAATAAGCTATTATTAGTAATCTATACCTACCGTAAAATTATACCCTCACAAAATTGATTTGGGTAAAAGCGGCCGTGATGTAAAGGCTAAATTATATAAACAGGAGATACATTTTTGCTCATGCGCTGAAGTCGCCATCAACTTGGGGCCTCACGTGCTGATGACGCATTGGTGTTGTGCCGGTAGAGGTCTTCGAGGTCAGATGTGGCAATTGGGGTCATCATAACCGCTAGGAGACATCCGAAGAGCAATGGAGAGGGAGACATCCTGCAACGAAAAATTAGGAAGTCACACTTATGCAATGCATATTTGCCGGAAAATGTTATTGTTGGGAGATGGGGCTTGTTGCAACAAATGCGATTCGATTATAGTTCGGAGGGAAGAATACATAAATTGATAGAGGAAAGAGGTGGGATGAAAAAGAGAGAGAGAGAGAGAGAGAGAGAGAGAGAGAGAGAGAGAGAGAGAGAGAGAGAGAGAGAGCGAAAGAAAGAGAGAGAGAAAGAGATAGAGAAAGAGAAAGAGAAAGAGAAAGAAAGAAAGAAAGAAAGAAAGAAAGAAAGAAAGAAAGAAAGAAAGAAAGAAAGAAAGAAAGAAAGAAAGAAAGAAAGAAAGAAAGAAGAAAGAAAGAAAGAAAGAAAGCACACGTCACTCCTGCATCGCACACGTCACTCCTGCCGCCTCTCCTCATAGCGTTGGCGCGCGCGTGTGTGGCTCCGTTCTCGTCATTTACACACACGTGTGAAGTTTACAACCCGTGTTTCCGTCGTTTACAATCCGTTCACCTTATTTACAAACCCGTTCCAGTCAGTTACAAACCCTTCACAGTCTGACAGATTGTCAACACTCTACCATTGACGTCATCCAACGTAACACTATCGCCGCCTGAGAAAACAATCGGATCATTAACGCCTGACATGCGCCGTCTCCTTCATTACGCTGAAGCCCACTTTCCCGTCGAATTACATAGCTGATTCCCGAGATTTCAGGAAGCTGTATTGTGTTTAGTATCTCCATGGAGACACGGTTCACTGTTGATTGATCACATCGTGCTAGATCATGTGACCCAGGAGAGGGGCGATTACAGTTTACGGCTCTGCCTGGCGGCATTGATGTCGCAATATCGGTGACGATGATGGTTCATCTGCGCCAGACTACCAGTACTAGAATATTGGCTTTCTGGTGCCGTCCTATAGGCATCTTTTTATGCAGGACGTGTTAGCTGATAGAAACGTAAAACAGTCCACGTGTCCTAGAAGCGACCACTTGGATTTTAGGCTACGTATAACGTCATGCCAATAAAGCTAATCGCATTGCAGTGGAACTCATAAGCCAAGAAAGTTGAAGATTAAGTGATACATTCTCAGACACAATGACCCTGGGCCTGGATGCAATTCAGCATCAAGCAGTTGGTTAAGACGCCGTAAAGTCGAGTTAGCCCGTAAAAAGCATTGCCGCCTCCGGAGGAGCTGGCTAATTCTTTTAGCGGGTGCCCGCAGTGATAGTTTCTAGATAATTGCAGCTGCTTGCTGGCGCCAGTCACGATACCGAGAGGCTGGCAATGGAGCTGAAGCTGGAGCTGGCACTGGTGCTTGGCAGCCTGTGAGGGATAGTGGAAGACGAAAATTCAATGGGGGTGGGTAGTGGGAGATGGAGACGAAAATTAAATGAGATAGGGGACAGAAAGATGAGATTGGGATGCTTTGGGGAAGGGTAGGGAGATGGAGCCGTTAATGCTATGACAGGAGGGAGCGGGAAGACGGACATACTGCGCAGAGAAGCCGGGCGGGCTGGTGACCGCAGCGCAGCACAGCACACTAACTCGGCGCCACTGAGCTCCAGAGCTCCGGGGTCAGATCCTGGTGACCCGTTTCGTGTGTTGCTAAGTCCACGGTTACGGCGTCTGGCTTTCTAAGTCGGAGTAATTGATGGACGCCCGATGAGGGGATAATACGGATCGTGTGCGATATGGCCGCTGTGGGCTCTGGGATGTCGTGTGGGGATGGTGTCAGACATTTAGCGCCCGAGGCGCGTCCCACTTGTGTGCAGTAGAAGTTACGTAGTAGTATACCCTTTACCGCTGTTATTTGTTTGATCCTCAACGATTGAACCTTCCATTTCACCCTTAGTTTCTTCAACAATAATCTCTAGCAAAGTTTAACCTACTATTGAAAGTACCAAAGCGTTAGTTAGGTTAGAAAAAGACGACTCATAATTGTTTCCTTGTTTTTTTTTTTCTGAACGATATAATGTTCGATACAACTCGACACAGCAAGTCCATATGTCCTCATCGAAAATATAAATTACAGTGGTCTGAATATGAAACTCAAGACTGCAACAGTGACCATTTATCGCATTTAAATCGGAGGGTTACGCATCTTGACCTCCCGGAAACAGTGCACATTCTTACACTTTCCCATCTGGCTGGGAACCACTCATATATCGCGTCTGTCCACAGAACTACCACTCCATCCTCTTCAGCAGAGTGGCAGCTTTGTTTGATCTGCCTCGCTCTCCCTCCGCCACTTTCAGTACCAAGTGCGACTTCCTCTGAATGAGCTGTCTACTTCATATTCCCCTCCAGCCGCCCCGAGCGGGCGGGATGCCTCTCATTTCAGTCACGGAGTCACGTGCTCCCAAACCACGAGACGTCCTTCTCACTGACTCTTGGAAAAGGACTCTTGGCGCCCTCTTGGCAAAGACTACCTAGAGCTGGCATCGAGGGCTGCTGCCGAAAGATAGCGGCTTCGGGAGTTGCTATCGAGAACTGTTTTCGAGAGACGGTAATGAGCCTTGCTATCGAGATCTGCTGCGGAGAGTTGCTAAGATCGAGACTCGAGAGCTGCTTCCAACGATATCCGAGCCGAGGGTCCCAAGTGCACTCTATAGGCCACCCTCTGCCTGTGCACGTGCGCTTTTGTGCGGTGTCGGCGTCGCCCGGGCCGCGGATGGGGCCGGCTGGCCTGACCGCCTTCCGCGCAGCGATGATGAGTGAAAATGAAGGGCCCTCGGGAGCCGGCAGCGGTTGTAGCTCAGTGTGTGGCGGCCACTGTACGTGCGCTGTCGACTGCGGCGCCAACGGGACGTGTGCGAGTGTGTGATGTAGGTCGGTATAGTCAGCATTCAGAAGGCTGCTGGGTGAAAAGGGTGGGGAGGAGTCGGTAGATGAGAGGCGCTGCACCTGATAACTACGTGTGTAGACCGAGCCGCACAGTCCAACGCTGGACCCAGGCCTCATTGAAATACCTTCCTATCACGTTACTTGAACACGTTGCAAATGATGCCTACTGGTGATTGAAACCAACTAACTAAATTTACTTACAAGGCTTCTTTTTGGAATAGTTCAATGTTTTACCATAAAAAGGTCCACATTTGTGCTCGACTTGAAGTATAAAAAGTCAGGAGATTTCGAACTTTAGCCGTTTCATGGTGTAAGCTTTCAGGCATCTTTTCAGCTCTTATCCCAGTACTTGTAATCCAGGCAGTGTTCATTGTTCCTCTTTCTCCTGCCCCGGTATAATTTGGCAGTGTTCCAGCATCCCATGTCTCAGTATAGTCTGGAGCGGTGAAAGTCTATTGTAGTTGTGATACAAGAAAGAAATTAAATCGATAGCGTCTAATGATGGGACCAGGGTGTCGGATAAAAAATGTCTGGGACGCATTGTTTCATTGTTCACAGCAAATAAAGCGCGAAGGACGATCTAGCGAGATATCTTGCTATTGACCTCCATGGTCAAATGCCGTCTTCAAGGTCAACTGCCGCGAAGACACAACTTCCGGTATGCTGGTCAAAGTCGGCAAATGCGCATTGGTATATGGTTTTGCAACCGAATGTACAAGGGATAACTGTGAATTACCCGACCCCTACACATAACAACACAGACGTAGCCTAAATTTACTGGTTGAGCACGGCTTTTTGCTATGCGAGTAATACGCTCTGCTCCGGTGGTCAGCATTTCAACTCCCAACCCAATGCGAAATCAACACTTTTTGTTTGAAACCCTCACCAGCACTTTTCCATTCCAGTCCATTTCAGCCGTCCCCTACCATATACAATCGTAATATCCGTCACCCGAGTGGCCCTTGGGGAGATGTTACGACACGGACCGGCCCAAAGCCGCCCCATTAGTTGCGCGGAGGAGTGGACTTCCCTGGCCCCGGTGCGCCCGTCCGAACGGTGAGGTCACTTTCGCCGCGCTACCCCTCTGAGAGAGGATCCGTCCGGCATCCAGAGATAGCGACACGTGAGTTTTGTGCTATGGAGGTCACCGAAACACAAGTGACAGAGTGAGAATCGTCAGAGATTCGGGGAATTTGGGACCGCGACGCGTGATAAAGGCACAAATGGAGCAGTTCGACGTGCCTCTGGGGTGATAGTCGGACGGCTTATTTGACGTGAATGTAGGCAATCATCATAGCGGATATTAATCAATGCGCTTGCTCCCGGCCTTCTGATGGATGGATAAACATCACGTTTGTTGATTTCTCTAAAGCCCAGAAATGGCTGGGCGCACCTCCGCCGTACCTAAATAATGCCATCTTGAGTTTTAAATGCGTTTGCACTGTGTTGCCGCGCTATGCCCCCGGTCCGGGAGCGCAGGGGCCGGTCCGTGTCGGCGCTAAATGGCCATCGCCGCTCGGTCGGTGGTGTCGAGAACGAAAGTGGGTCTGTGGCGTATACTTGTCGGGTGTAATCGGCGTGGTTCGGACGAGCCGCGGCGGGGCGGGGCGGGGCGGTAGCCAAGGCCGGACCGACGGAGAATGGCAGCTGTCGGAAACTGACCGTGACTGCGTGTGACGGCATCACGGTAACGTTCACGAAACGCCACGGAAACTGACCGCAGGTGGGAGAGCGCCGTGATCGAGCGGAGGCCAGTCACTGGCATTGATAGAACAGTCGCCGGGACTGACAGAGCAGTCGAGGAAGACTAGACCGGCCAGAGACTGTAAGTATACCTAATTGCCTATCACTAGGACTGACTGTAGACCAGTCACTGGACCGAGCGGGTGCGTCTTCACTCTTCAGGACATATGATCCGAGCATGGTTCGAGCGGCACTTGCCAGTCCGGGCACCGAAACCCCCAACTCGGGGCGTCGTTCAAGTCACTACCTGACCTAGCTCAGTGTGTCATTAGCGTCAGCATCTGATTTTCGTGTATCATCGGTGTAACAGGGTTGTATACGACTCAATCAATAGCAATCAATTCAATCACGACAAATTTGGGAAACCAATCAAATCAATCAAGTCAGAGCAGTTTTCGGGAAT